AAGCTTGACCATTCATAAGGATCATTGCCAACACACAGGCCCCAAAATAGTTCTTGACACAAAGAATCGAATATGTTAGTCACATCTCTTGTCCAACAACGCTGCACGCTGTATTAGAAGCTATTACATATATAGGTACTACATTTGGACCTCTCTCAGATTTGTTCATTTTGTAATGATATCTTTAATTCTCTAATTTTGGTGAATATTTTTGTAATTTTTGGTAAAAAGTGATATTTTCGACTTCTTGTTAAAAACCGCAAGTCAAATTGCTTTGATATCACATATATAGGTACTACATGTGGGCCTCTCTCAGATTTGTTCATTTTGTAATGATACATGTATCTTCAATTCTCTAATTTTGGTGAATGTTTTTGTAATTTTTGGTAAAAAATGATATTTTCGACTTCTTTTTAAAAACCGCAAGTCCAATTGCTTTGATATTACATATATAGGTACTACATGTGGGCCTCTCTCAGATTTGTTCATTTTGTAATGATATCTTCAATTCTCTAATTTTGGTGAATGTTTTTGTAATTTTTGGTAAAAAATGATATTTTCGACTTCTTGTTAAAAACCGCAAGTCCAATTGCTTTGATATTACATATATAGGTACTACATGTGTACCTCTCTCAGATTTGTTCATTTCATGATGATATCTTTAATTCTCTAATTTTAGTGAATATTTTTGTAATTTTTGTAAAAAGTGATATTTTCGACTTCTTGTTGAAAACCACAAGTTTGCTTGCTTTTATATTACATATATAGGTACTACATGTGGTAATATCTTCAATTATCTAATTTTGATGATTATTTTTGTCATTTTTGGTGAAAAGTGATATTTTTGAAATCTTGTTGAAAACAGTCTACATATTGTTCATTTTCTAATGATATCTTCTGTTCTTTATTTGAAATGTGCATTGCTAACAGTGGAGCTATCTCAGTCGAGGGTCAACATATTAAGGGTCAACATATCTTGGGGGTGCAAGAAAGTTTGGGAAAAGGTCTGGAAAACTTTTGGAAATCATTTGGTTCTTGGTGCTATGGACCCTGGTTACGTACAGTATGCTGAGACTTAATAGATTGTTTGGTAAAGAAATACCGTACTCGACCGCGTTAGCGCCCAGGGGCCTTAACTCAAAAATTTACGATTTATTAGGGGTGGGCGCTTACCCGAGCACCCCCTCGAAAGAGAGTGCAAATGAAAAATGTCATTCATCAAG